AATTTTCGAGCTTTTTTCGAATGAAACTGCTACTATTATATATCGTTCGACTCCTCACGAAGTTCATGAAACTCTTTTTGTTGTCACTACGACCTAGTTATTCACGAAAAATACGAGAAAATGTATAATACATTCTCTGTCGGCAGGCCTGGCTAATTTATGAGTCTTTGCTTTTGCACAAGCTGTTGTACGGTTTTATAGAAGCAAAAGAGCGCACTGGAGTGTCGTGTATGCCAAATGATAGCTGCTGTCGAGATCCGTTCAATGGTGTGTCATATATGTGCAAAATGACTGATTTCGATATATTGCTTAGGATAAACTCCTGAGAAGCGTAGTCGTAACTCTGCGTCTTGTTTATCTCAGCTTCCTGAGATGTGGTAGTCGGGAAATTTTTACCACAGACTCAGTGAATGATGGTCAACAAAATGCACCTTTTAAATTTTCAAAAGGATCACTTTCATTTTTTTTTATCAATTGTACAAAAAAGTTGCAATTGACTCATATATACTCTGAAATTACCTAATTACACCAGAATCTTCTGAATCTCTCACCCACAGATATGATGTAACTCACACACAAAAAAATAAATGTCTCCTTCTCTCTTTCTTCTTAGCTAACCAACAGGGATAATTTATTCCACAAATATTCACATCGTTTAGGCAACCGGTATGTAATCATCAGTTAACGTCTGTTAAAGATTGTATTGCAAATGTGAATTTTTATAGAGAACTTTCTAGAATTTTTCAAGAGTGGAAATGATATATACAATCAGATTTGGACGTAAAACTCATTATGATACTACTATGCAATTTTGTGATTGGCTTTTTCTCTCCCGAGACTACTCTTTAGTGTAGCACTGCTAAGTATCAGTGCCACGCTGCCATGTCATAATCATGCCACACTGTCGTACCACTTCTCTTATGAAAAAGAAAGGATGAAGTCAAAAGATATCCGAAATATAACAAGAATACTATGATGATTATAGACAGACGTTGATAAAAATGGTTAATTACACCTCTGTAAAATACTAAAGAGTTTTTAATTCACACTAGTTCAATAATGAGTCTACCTTCTGTCGTTGGTTTTACATCCCAAAAGTACGTGCCTTCAATAACTTGATCATTGATTTTAGCTTTATAAATAAAATATCCTGAATGATGTCCAAAACGTTCCATAAAATTCATTGTTCTGTTTTCGACATCAAATGTTTCTGTCCATGTTACGTCTGTTGATTCAGCACTTCCAAGATATCTCCGTCACTTTTCAAACTAGAAGTTTGGGGTTGGTTTCAAAAAACAGAGAAATGTTTTTTCTATTGAATATCTTTTTTTCGAGAATATCTTTTTTTATTGAAATATTATTAAGAATCACAGATATTTACCTGTCAATGTACATACTTTATACAACACTGTATCATCCGACGCTGATTGGATAGACACCACTATACATGGTAAAATTCTTGGCGTTGTATTCGTATGATCAACTTTATCAATTTTGAGCCCAACAATATCACCTAATTGATATTGTTCTTTATGTCGAGCATCGTCATAGATCTTCTGTCACTTCGCAACGGACTTTAGATAATCAACTTCAGCTTCCTCTCAAGTCGTTTGTGCCTGTTTGATCGTTCATCATCGCCGTCCCTGTCACTATTTGTGGAAAGGCTAGTATTACTAACCGTCAATTTTGTCGAGCAACTACTTTGTGAGCCTAACACGAATAGAAAGAAATTCAAAGTCTTGTTTTTCAGCTTACATTAACTGATTACTTTCTCCAAATTGTAGATCAATTGAACTAAACACCTGTGGTAGAGAGCTTGCACATTCAAGGGTATTTGTATTCGTTAATGTATTATTATGTATTATGCCTATGAGAATTTAGTAAAGTGATCTTTCACATGTAAAATCCACTTGTATTCTCCGTCTGGTGCACATCTCATGTCGATCAAATCCATTTCCAATCGAGTCAAATAACCAATTGAAACAATTGGTTTTGCTTTAAAGAAAGAATGTGTATCAGAGGCCGAAACAGGTCGGGTTCGAGTCAACGTAAAAGATATTGATTCGGGTCGGGTCGGCTCGGGGTCAACTCACAGTCGGGTTCGGGTCACGGTTGGTTGACCTGTTTCGGTTCAAACTCAGATCAATATAAGAAAAACCTCCTGAATTACCCAAACTTTTCCATTCATAAAAGGAAAAAATTACAGAAATCGTAAGAAATCTGGCTATTCCTTTGAAAAAATTTTAAAGCAATCTGACTAAGATAACTTTTCTGTAGGAGAGAAGTGTTCCTTTACGAATGTGTGCGAAAACATTTTCATTTTTCGGCTATACCCAAGCGTCAAAAAAAATCTAGTATCGCCCGATTCATCTAGATTACTAGATTTCTATCGATTGCAGCTATTGAGTGACGAAAGTGAAAATCTAATAATCGGGTGTTACATTTCATTACATTTCACTAATCGGGCGACTACATTTCATCTACTTGCAACTATCGACCTATCGCTCGATAATCGATCGATTTAAC